AAGTCCCCGCCCGGTAGGCAGCCTTGGGAGAGGCAGGGGGACTGGCAGCTGCCGGGTCTGGAGCCTCCCTCTCCCAACAGCGGAGCCCTGGGGCTGGCCCAGCCCCGGCACTCACCAGCCCAGCTCACACACGTGGAGCAGGGTCAAGGCAGCAGCAGCCCCTGCCCATGAGCCGCTGGGACTGGAATGGGTCAAAGCCCCGAGCTCGCCAGGATTGCTGCTCCGTGGAGGGGCTGAGCAGGCCAAGCGCCTCCCCCCCGTGCACAGTTCCCAGGAAGGGGACAAGATTCTTCTAATTCAATGTTTCTCAACTTTTTTTTTTTTTAATAAAGTACCCCCTTTCAAAAAAATAACTACCCTCACTACCTGCAGTTTTCAGACTTTTTTTTTGTACGGTGGCAACACATTTGTTTAAACAACTTAATCGTAGCCGGGCAGGCGATGAAATTTGTGCGTGTAAAGAGTACACAAATAATAGAGTGCTGTAAAACTTAAACAAAATCAGTTTTCTCCAAATTTCAGGTGTGTTGACATACCCCCTCTCCCCCAGACTTCTCTAAAGTACCCCTAAGGGTAGTTGTACCACTGCTCTCAACTCAACTCAGCAAGCCATGACATTCCTGTAACACTGCCAAGGCAAAAGGATAGGGCAACTTGTTGGACAGCAAACGGGTGGGCAGGGAGGGAGATGTCTAAGGTGTTAGGGTGCACCAACTGCTTGCAAGAAGTGAACTTTCTCACCTTATGCAGTGGTACTTCCTTTTAATGTGCAAATTGAGTTCCTTGGGTGCATTTTCTCATTCACCATACCATTAGCTCCAAGGGCTTTGCTATTCTGTCCCCCAGATTATTTTCAGACGGGAGGTTGCTACAATCTTTGATTATATAAAGCAGTGGTGGTTTTGCATTTATATGGTAGATAACAGAACAGTAGGGACATGAAAGGTTAACCTGTTAAATAATGGGTCTGGAGCAGCTTCATGACCACAGCAGATAGAGGCACTTCAGCAGTCAGAACAGCCCCTGCCTGTGGCAGGGCCAAGTAGGCAGAGGCTACTGTGGCCCCCTCACCCTCTTTAATAAATTAACTGGTTAACTAATTAAACAGGATTTTACCTCCCTATGGAAAGGGTACTTAAATAATTAGCACTTAAGCAGATACAGCAACACTACTCACAAGATACCCAACTAGTTCAGTGGGCAGAGCATCAGACTCAAGAGTTAAGGATTCAAGCCCCTGTTTGGGCAGATGGCTTTTAACTTGCCTTATACACCAGGAGCCCAATGAATCCCAGCTGTGCTTGGAGCAGGACACCAGATCCCAGCCTGTAGGATCTTTTCCTAGAAAGGAAGTTCCCTTGTGGGAAGAACAATCTGTTTCACACAGTCACTTCTCATTCTGTATAGGAAGGAGTAAGGCAGATCTAAGGGTCATAGTGGACCACAAGTAAAATGTGGGTCACTGACACAGTTACAAAAAAAAGCAAACATTCTGCAATGTATTGACAGGAGTGTCATGAGCAAGACACAAGTAGTAATTCTTGCACTCCACTCTATGCTGATTAGGCCTCAACTGGAGCTTTCAGCACATTTCTTACCATGTCTCAGAAAAGATGTGGCCAGAATAGAAAGGGTCCAGAGAAAAGAAACAATAATGGATTAAAGGTCTAGAAAACATGACCTGAGGGAAGACTGTGTGTCATGCTCCCGAAAAGGTATGATACCATCTAAATTTTTTTTGTTAGTTTCTAAGGTGCTACAGGACTATTTTCTGTTTAAAGATTTTTGAAAGAATTGGGTTTGTTTAGTTTGGAAAAGAGAAGACAGAGAGGACACGATTGCAGTTCTCAAGTACCTAAAAGGGTGTTACAAGAAGAAAGGAGAAAAAATAGTCTCCTTAAACTCTGATGATAGGATGAGCAGCAATGCGCTTAATATTGCAACATAGGAGGTTGAGGTTGGACATTAGGAAAAACTTCCTAACTGTCAAGATGATTAAGCACTAAAATTGCCTAGAGAGAATGTGGAATCTCCATCACTAGAGATATTTAAGAGCAGGTTAGTCAGACATCTGTGAAGGATGACTAGATCAGAGATGGGGAACTTAAGACCCAGGGGCCGGCTGCAGCCCCTGGCTTGCCGGGATCCAGCCCCTGAGACTCAGGACTCTCCTCCAGCATTGGGGAGCCAGTGCTGGTGCTCCAGCCTCATCCCCGTCATCCCCTTGTGGGGCTGGAGTACACAGATCTACTAGCCCCCCCCGCACAGGCTCTGGTCTGTGATAGGGATGTAAGAGACTAGTCAACTATCCAATAAGTGGAAATTTATTGGATATTTGACTAGTGATGCAACTAGTCACTTTCCCCCCTTGCTATCTCTATCAGAGAGAGGCAGCAAAAGGGGAGGAGCAGGAGATGGTGCTGAGGGATTTCCCTCAGCACCATCTCCACAGGGGCAGGGAAGGTAGAGGCACAGTGGGAAACAGCATGAGCAGGGATTAAAGCAGTCTCTGGTTGTGCTGCTTCTGCTGCAATTCTGCTATTGAGTTGTACAAGAGCCCTGCTGGGGCTCTTCTGCATTTCAAAGGCTGAGGCACCACAGGGAGCACGGGCCCAGTGGGTGAGTCCCTGCTAGCCCCACACTCTCTGCAGGGCTTCTTCTTTTGAAACGTACAAGAGCCCTGGGGCTATTATACATTTCAAAGGCTGAGGCAACCGTGCACATGGTTAACATGGAGACTGGGATCATCGGTTAACCTTCACGGTTACATGCAGGCTCCTGGTACATACGAGGACTCGGCTTAAAGTATGAGAGGCAGCAGCGCAGGGGGGCAGGTGGCACTGCAGAGAATCAGCAGTGACACAGTTACTTAACTAAATGCATTTTAACATCCCTAACTCACATGAATACTAAAAGGGTGTCATAAGGAGGAGGGAGAAAACTTGTTCATCTTGGCCTCTGGGGATAGAACAAGAAGCAATGGGCTTAAACTGCAGCAAGGGAGGTTTAGGTTGGACATTAGGAAAAAGTTCCTAACTGTCAGGGTAGTCAAACACTGGAATAAATTGCCCAGGGAGGTTGTGGAATCCTCATCTCTGGAGACATTTAAGAGTAGGTTAGATAAATGTCTATCAGGGATGGTCTAGACAGTATTGGTCCGGCCATGAGAGCAGGGGACTGTACTTGATGACCTCTCAAGGTCCCTTCCAATTCTAGTATTTTATGATTCTTCTTTCTCTAGGCCTGTTTCCCCCAAATGGTGTTACGCAGAACCCTGAGGTTCCGTGAAGTGTAACTAAGGGTTCCGTGAGAAAATTCTACTTCCCCACCCCCTGCATAGCCCGTAGGCAGCTCCCATTGGAGCTGTGCCGGCGGGGGTGGGCTTCTGGCGGCGTGCTGCTCTGTCCTCTCCAC